TTCATGCGCGTCTTATGTTGGTTGCGGTATGCGCGCGAGCAGTTCGTCTGTCATGTCTGCATACAGTCATGACTATGTGCGCACATACCACTGAGACCCATGCAACAATCACTCGACATGGGATCCGCAACGATGCTGGCGCATTGCGCCCACCACTCACCACGATAATCGGTTGTCTTTATGTACACCCCAATATGCTCTATGTGTTCGCCATGATGGCCCGGAAGATGGCCCCAGATTGGACGTACCCCCAGAGGCAGAGGAGAAAGATGAGGAAACGGACGCACCTCTGAACATCGTTCACACACTTCGTGCCTCTTGGAGTTTCTCGTGTGCATAACCGCGGTCAGGCTCCACGGGCGCTGGCACACATTGACCGCGCAGAGCAGGAGGACGATCCAGAAACGGCAGCAAGCATACAGGAGACACATACGTCCAGTCACCTTGCTATGAGAAATATGGGGGGACAGTTGTCGCCTATACATGTATATATGTATATACGTACATACATAGCTACAAACATACATACATGCATGCATGCATACATACATACTTACATGTACATATACATATACACAAGTACGCATACAAATACACATGCAGACACACATATAAATTTATACATCCGTATATGCATGCACGCATACACAAATACATACACACATATAATGCAGGCACGTATGTATACATACATGTATGCATGCATATGTTTAAAAAGTGTGTGTGTGTGTGTCAGGTGACGCCAAACAATATTTATATATATATGATTATATACATATCGATACATACACATACATACAGACAGACAGACAGACAGGCAGGCAGACACACATACATCAGGGTGGGGGGGCTGAACCGAACGGCCATTCACTGTCCCTGGGTGCGCGGCTGAAAGGAATTCCGCGATGCGAGTTCTGGTTGTTCTTTGTGGTTCTCGTCGTCCCACCCGCGACCCGCCCCGCGACCCACCCGCGACCCACCCCGCGACCCACCCGCGACCCACCCGCGACCCACCCTGCGACCCACCCCGCGACCCACCCCGCGACCCACCCCGCGACCCACCCGCGAACCACCCGCGACCCACCCGCGACCAACCGCGACCCACCCGCGACCCACCCGCGACCCACCCCGCGACCCACCCAAAATTTTCGGCGCCTGCGGCGGGCCTCTTTTGCGTTCGTTCCAGGTGGAGAACCTGCGACCCACCCGCGACCCGAACCGCGCTCGGTGTACAAATCAAAACTTTCGGCGCCTGCGGCGGGCTGTGTTTGAATTTTTTCCTGGTGGAGGTGGAGAGCCCGCGACCCACCCGCCACCCAAACTACGTTCACTGAACAAGCCAAAACTTCGGCGCCTGCAGCGGGTTTCTTCTGCATCGGCGACCCACCCGCGACCCACCCGCGACCCACCCCAAGACCCACCCGCGACCCACCCCGCGACCCACCCGCGACCCACCCGCGACCCACCCGCGACCCACCACGACCCACCCGCGAGCCACCCACGACCCAAACCGCGACCCACCCAAAATTTTCGGCGCCTGCGGCGGGTTTCCGTTGCATTCGTTCCATGTGGAGAACCTGCGACCCACCCGCGACCCAAACCGCGTTCGGTGTACAAATCAAAACTTTCGGCGCCTGCGGCGGGCTGTTTTTGACTTCCTTCCAGGTGGAGATGGAGAGCCCGCGACCCACCCACGACCCAAACTACGTTCACTGAACAAGCCAAAACTTCGGCGCCTGCGGCGGGTTCCTTGTGCATTCGTTCCAGGTGGGGAACCTGCGACCCAAACCGCGTTCAGTGCACAAATCAAAATGTTCGGCGCCTGCGGCGGGCTGCTTGCGAATTCCTTCCAGGTGGAAGTGGAGAGCCCGCGACCCACCCGCGACCCAAACTACGTTCACTGAACAAGCCAAAACTTCGGCGCCTGCGGCGGGCTGTCTTGGTATTCGTTCCGGGTGGCCCACCAGCGATACCCCCCGCGCTGAACTTGTCAGAGCACGCAAATCGGCGCCTGCGGCGGGCTTGCTCGCATTGGTTTGGGAAAGCGCCCTCGTGCCATTCCCCCGATCCGACCCACTTTGACTCTACAACAGCACATCGGCGCCTGCGGCGGGGCTGTGTCTGAACACGTTCATTGACAATCCAGCTGCCTGCTGAAATTCGGCATCCGTGCCCAAAGCCTGGCTTCAGGGGAACCTGCCTCAAGGCGCCCACAATTAAGGGGCCTCGGGATGGGGGAGGAAGAGGACGACAACGACGACGACGACGACGACGACGACGACGACGACGACGACGACGACGACGACTACAACGACAACGACGGAAAGGAGGAGGGGGGAGGATCGGGATGGGGGAGGAAGAGGAGGAGGAGGAGGACGGGGGGGAGGGAGGAGGAGGAGGAGGAGGAGAGAGGAGGAGGTGGAGGAGGACGAGGCCGACGACGACGACGATGAGGACGAGGACGCGGACGCGGGAGGAGGAGAGGAGCAGGAGGAGGAGC